GTTCACGTACACATGAGCTTACAAAACAGCAACATCCTCGAAACTGGCTCTGCTATTCACCATCCAAACATGTCGTGTTCTGTTTTGCGTGTAAACTCATGACTGACAGCATCGTTTTGGAAAACAAGGTTATAATGACTGGAAACGCGCATCCCAGTCAATTCCACGACATGAGAAAAGTTCAGCGCACCGTAATGCTGTTTTCAGCTACTCCAACGTAGCGATGCTGGCTGCCGTATTGATTCAGAACTGGTCACACAGGCCAGTGATGAGCGTAACTATTGGCGGGCAGTACTTGAGCGGGTAACAGAAACCATCCGTTACCTTTCCGAGCGAAGTTTACCATTTCGCGGCACTGATGAGATCGTTGGATCGCCAAAAAACGGTAACTACCTGGGAACATTAGAACTTATATCGATGTTCGATCCATTTCTAGCGCAACACATCAACCGTAATGCAAATAAGGGAAAGGGTCACACATCCTATCTCTCAAAGACCATTTGCGAGGAATTCATCCAACTGATGGCAACTCGAGTTCGCGAGCAGATTTTACAGAAGTTAAAGCTGCAAAGTATTTCTCCGTCTGTGTAGACTCTACCCCAGATATTTCCCACGTTGATCAACTGACATGCATTCTTCGATACGTTTTACCCTCTGGTCCTGTCGAACGATTTGTATCTTTCCTTAACATACGTGGACATAGCGGAAAATTGCTAGCTGAAAGGCTACTAGATTATTTGAAAACCAATAATATAAATATTTCGGATTGCCGCGGCCAGTCATATGACAATGCAAGCAATATGAGTGGGAAATATAATGGTATGCAGGCCATTATTCAGCAACATTAGCCTAGCACAGTACATACCCTGCGTTGCACATTCCCATAATCCTTCATTCCTTGTACTCTTTCTTTGCTGCTTCAACGCATCGTTGGAAAGTTTTAACCGACCAACTTTCAAGCAAGAGACTTCCAACGGTTAAACGTATGTCTGATACTCGATGGTCAGCACGTGCAGATGCTACAAAAGCTCTAGTAATAGGATACGAGGAAATTAATGCTGCTTTAGACGAGATCCATGATGATCAAGATGAGAAGCCTGAAGCCAAAATGAAGCCAATAGTCTTGCGTCTGATATGGCCCAGCTTGAATTGGAATTCTGGCAGCATTATGGCATCAAATCTTGCAACGATTTCAGAGAACAAGTCAGATCCTGCAATTAGCTGATCAAGATCTCAACACTGCTGTTGCATTATATGAATCGCTGATTGAGTTTGTCCTTTCGCTGCGAACCAGATTTGAAGAATTTGAAGCCAAAGGAAAGGAGCTCAGTGAATGTGATCAATATAAAGAAGAGATCAAGCGCGTGCGTAAACGAAATCGTCGTAACGACGAGCCAGGATCAGCACCTGATTTGTTGCAGATTCCAGCCGACAAGTTTCGCACAGGTACTTTCCTTGTAATAATCGATAGTCTGGATGCTGAGTTGCGAAAACGACTGAGTGCTTACATCAACATTGCTGAAAAGTTTGGCTTTCTGCGAAAGCTTACAGATCTGCCAGCTGAAGACGTGTTGGAAAACGCACAAAGATTGCAAAAAGCATTTTCCACTGACCTCGAAGTCAATTTGGGTGATGAATTGCTCCAGTTTTCTAGCTTTCTCAACACAGAATTCGTGAAAAGAGCATTAGATGCGAGTCATGCAGCTGCACCTCATTATTCTTCAGCTCGAATTGGATCTTCTGCTCAGCCTAGTGAAGACCATGACATCGATGTAACATCCGATGATGATGACGACATCAAAGTGAACGTAGACTCCTAGAACTGCGTATATACAGGTTTCTTGTGGGAAATAACCTGGAAACTGTATTTCCAAACACTGTTATTGTGTTTTGCATTTACCTCAGTATGATGATATCAAATTGTTCTGGTGAACGGTCGTTCTCGAAATTAAAGCTAATAAAGGATCATCTTCGTTCAACCATGACACAGGAACGACTAAATAGCCTTGCTCTTCTGAGTATTGAAAATGATGTTCTGCGTAGTATTGATATGTCATCCCTGATTAATGATTTTGCTCTTATGAAATCCCGTAAGCATAACGTTTATAAGGCTTAACACTTCTGCACAGTAAAACCTTTTACGTCTTTTTTTATCGTGTTTATTATATTAGTCTGTTTAATATTGGTATGTAATGTTTGGTATACGTACGTGATTGTAAATTGGAATTATATTCAACGTATTGGTTTAAATAGGCCAAAATACGAGGTTTTATTGTTTGAGTTAAAAACAGTTTTTATTGCATTTTGGTAAACACAGGGTTGGGGCAACCCCGCACTGATATTATGCCATGGGCCCCAAAATGTTAATCCGGATGTTAATCCGTGATGAAAATGGCTAAGGCCATAGAAGCATCACTTTATCATGTTGCTTGAACTGATAAGAATCCACAGCATCATAATTGCCTGGTGGAGAACACACAGTTGGTGTGGTTATGAAAGAAATAAAGATAATTACAAGCACAGAAATGGCATTCCTGCATGCATTGTGGAGGTTATCAAGCCCATTTTTTGTGCTGTTAGAAAACATGAGCTTTTGAAGGTATGTACTCATCGCATGATACAAAATGCAAAAGAATGTTTAAACAGACTATATTTGGGACAGATTTCTTAAATCAAATATGTTGAGCAGGAAGCCGTTGCCACTTATCTTGCTGTCCCTAAATTCAATGATGGGGATATTTTTCTTACTTTAAAACCCTGAGGGTTAGATAGAACTGCTGGATAAATTTTGCATACATTAAAAAAATTTTTTTGCATCGTCGACGTTGATTAAGTATAAAACTTGCCAAGATATAGTACGGCCTAATCGTGGTTATGCTTGGCCCTTGCCTATAGAGCGTATCGCGAACGATGGAAGTCGATTTTACGTGACGTCATATATTGACATCACAACATGTACTTTATATTATGGAAAAACATTTCCATTCCAAATATCATTTTATTTGGCATTTTTATTTAAGTGAGAACCACATAAGTGCATCTCTTTTAAAGGTACAAAAACATTGTAAATAGTATCATTAATTTTTTACTTTGAAGGAAATATAACTCCTACATTATATTGGCTTGTAAAATAAAAATTTTAATGATCAAATCAATTTTATCATTTTAATGATAAAATAGTGCCATAGGATGTATTAAATTGTTTAATAAAAACTCAAAATTTAACAAGCGTCAGGTAATAACACAATGATCATTTTGAAAAAAGCACAACGTTGGGTAAAACGTTTACAGAATTTATGCCTT